AAACCCACTCCAGCTAAGCTGGGAAGACAGGGCTTCTGAGGAGCAATCCAGGCCCAGCTGGTCGTGTTTCCTCTGCGAATAGGAAGCCCACACCCCCTCGTCCTGGAAGCACTGATTAAAGAGGTTTAGTTCTTGCCGCCTCCATCCCCAAACTTCTCCGAGCTGGGCCCCCTTATGCTCTCTGTTCTGAGATTCACAACACGAGCTGCTGCCAAGCCCTCCGCTCCTCCGGGCTATTCTAGCTTCTTATGGAACACTAACACCTTTCCAACCATTTAAAATAGATTTTCGGCTTCTCTGTGCGTTTCCCGTTCCAAGTGTTTGTTGCTATGCAGCAACAGGCTTGCTGAATCACTTTTATTGTTCTTGGCCACATTTCTTGGACAAAGACATTTTCTAACAGGAAGACAGGGGGCACATACACTAAACTAACATAACCTTTGGTTGTGAACACCAAGGAGCAAAGATTAAAAGAAGCTAGATGCTTCAAACACAGGCTACATAAACAGCAATAAATCAATGTTTTCCCCCAAATACCACATTTCCATCATCTGAGAGAATGTGGAAAACAGTTTCATGTTTTTAACTGCAATTTATGGTGAAGATGCTCTCATGTGTGAATTAATCCTGCCTCTTGAGAAGACACGAGGATCCTTAGCACAAAGCAGCCATTTGAAAATTGAAGATAACATAAGGAAAAAAGTATCCCAGCCAAGAACCTGGCTAAGTAGTTGCAACATGTCCCCACCCCATTACAATCATCATCATCATCAATAACATCATCACCATGACCATTCTCAAATATTTATGGCTGTTTACACTGCTAAAATACACACGTTTCTCAGGGGATGGAACCAGTTTCGACCATTTCCCATAAATTCAAGGTATCTTTATATGGAATCTTTTCTATTTTAGAATGTACAAAATTAGTAATTCCTGCATATAATTTATTAAGAAAGGGAAGGATTCTAGATACAGCAAGAATGGGGCTGGAGCCGGAGCTCCATTGGCGGAGCATAAGCTTTCCATGTACAGTGCCCTGGCTTGACCCCCACCACCACAGAAACACAACAGCATGGGGGCTTAATTTTAAGTACAGAATCATGAGCTCTGGGAAGATATTTTTGCATTACTTATCTAAAAAGTCTTTCTTCCTAGTTAATAAGAGAGAGTGTCTGTGCAAGTACCAATCACCAGAAAAGACAATGTTCTCATTGCTTATAAAGGAGATGAACTCAGGGCTGTTGAAATGGCTCAGAGTTGCCATCTACCGTACCTGACAGCCTAAATTCAATCCTTAGGGAATACGTGGTCAAAGGAGAAAATGGACTCCCCCCCAAGCTGTTCCATGCATATATATAAATAAATGAGTATTTAAAATTGATTAAGAAGTAGGTGACTCCCCCCCGCCCCCATTTGTTAGAAATGTCACCCAAATATGATATCCCGTGTTCTTCCAGTTACTAGCTTGCATCCAGCTGAAGCGGGGGCCAGTCTGAGTCAGGAAGATGTCATACAGACAACAGACAATGTAAGTGTCATGATATTGCTCAACGCCACAGAGGATGCCAACGGCATTGCCTAGACAAGGTCATGTATTTGCAAGTAAACAGGGCAGTCACCTACGATTTCAAAACTACAAACAACTCTCAGGGAAGAGCTATGGCATGCTCCGCCCAAATGGCTTCCAAGCCTAGAAATAACTCAAGCTCCAGGGACCAGTTCCTGACTCTTTTAATCAAGCAGGAATTAAAGACTATTTGAATGGCATAATATAACTCTAGCTTCTTGGTTTCTTCAAAACTGGTTCCCATCATCCTTTCATATTCCCGTGTTCATATCGAGACTGACTTCTATAGGAGGTATCAAAAGTAACAACTTGTACAAGCTAATTTTTGTCAGCTTGGCACAAACTAAAGTCACCTGGGAAGAGGAACCCACAATTGAGGAATTGCCACCATGAGACCGCCCTGTGGGCAAGTCCCATAGGGCATTTTCTTAATTGATGATTGATTTGGGAGGGCCCAGCCCACTGTGGGTGGTGCCACACCTGGACAAGTGGTCCTGGGGTGTATAGGAAAGCAGGCTGAGCCAGCCATGGGAATAAACAGCACCCCTCCATGGCCTCTGCATCAGCTCCTGCCTTGAGCTTCAGGCCCAACTTCCCTCAATGATGGACCGTAACCTGTAGGCCAAATAAACCCTCTCCTCCCTAAGTTGCTTTTGGTCAGAAAGGTTTACCCCCAGCAAACTAGGACATCAATATTTTGGGCTCTCAAAATGGTTCATGGGGTAAAGGCACTTGCCACCAGGCCTGAGTTCGATTCCGAGTACCCACACAAGGCAAAAGGAAAGCTGCCCTTTGACCTCTGCATACATGCCTTGGCACATATTACTCCCCCCATACAAAAGAAATTTAAAATGTAACAAAATAAAAAAAAACAATAATTATTATCTAGCTTTTTTTTAAAGCTTAGAGACTAACCATAGGCGTTGTATACACCCTCACATTAAGCTCCTGAGAGATAAGAGACATTGTGTCTTAATTTTTTTCCCTCCTATCATGTTCCTTCAAAGAACACATGGTTCAGTGCAAGAGAGTAAGTCTCATCCATGTTACTATTCAAAGTAGGAAATGTGGGAAAAGAAAAACAGACAAAATTTTAACATCGCCAATAAGACTGGGAGATGAGACATCATGGTGAATGCCAGGAAGCCATTTTAACAGTCCCTCCACTTCCTCCTTCTTCCCTCATGCAGGAATTCATCACAGAATGCCAACCACATTCCTTAGTCTTCAGCCATCACCAACAACTTCTTTGTCTTTTTTTAAAGTTTTTAATTGATTTTTATTTTATTTTATGTGTATGGGTATTTTGCTTGCATGTGTATCTATACAATACTTAAATGCCTAGTGCCCAAGGAAGCCAGAAGAGGGCATTGGATCCCCAGAAATGGAGTTACAGACAGTTGCGAGCCCTTATGTGAGTGACAGGAATTGAACCCTGGTCCTCTGGAAGAGCAGCCAGTGCTCTTAATCGCAGAGCCATCTCTCCATCCCCTTCCTGTCTTAGAGAATTCTCAGGTCCATACTCCTTATATTCTTCCTATTCATTTGAGGACAGCAATAATCTATTCTCAATTAAATGCAACTTAAAACTCATTAGAACAAATACATTACTATTTTTTTTTAATGTGTAAGAATAGATCACCAAGTGTTTTTAGGATTTTATAGTCAACTATGTCCCAAAGTTCTTAATAAATAATAAATTATTAAATTTAATAAATATATTAAATAATATAAATTAAATTTAATAAATATATTAAATAATAAAAAAACTTAATAAATCGACATGAAGTCACATTGATTATGTATATTGTTATGTATAATAACACATACTTATTGTATGCTAACTACTGGGGTAAAAAAAACGTCATACCAGGACAAAAATGGGTAAATAAACAGAGCTGCATCTGCTTTGGCAACAATCACAATCTATGAACAAATCTCTTGGGGAGTCGGGGGAACCAATTATCTCCAGGCACTGTTGTGTGGGTTCCCAGGAATGTCCAAGGGAGCAAGCTTCCTGCTGAGGCAGAAACTGCAAGGAAACCGAAGCTGGTCAGATGAACCAGGAGCCTGCAGAACTCACAATCAGACAGATGAATCTGCAGATAACCTAACAGTACCCGATTTTTTATTTTCAAAAAAAGAAGTTAAAGGCAATGACAGCAACTCCTAGGAATGTTTTCACCCTGAGGAAAACCATGCACTGCTATGAAATATGATGGAAGCCCTCTTTGTTGTTTTTGGCTAAAAAAAAAGCAGAAAGCCCCTAACTTTTCAGGAGCCAACCAAAACAAAAGGACAAAACCAAAGGAACAATAACAACAACAACAAACCACTGGCATTACTATCTGTGATAATGAGTCACTGTGTCTGGTTTAGCTGTCTTTGTTATGCAGCACAAGCCTTGATGATGAGTTTGGTCCTACCCTTTACACACCGAGATGCTAGGGGCATGAGAGGAGATTCCAGCTGAAACATGGGAACTTGTTTTCATTCAGATAGAAGGAATAAAACAACTCCACCCTCTCTCCTGAAATCCTCAATGTGAGATAAAGATTGAGGGAACAAGGAGCTAGAATCTCAACAGAGCAGTCAGCTACAAAGCTTAAAACCAAGATTTTAAAAGCATTCATTTTCTTGAAATGCTAGAGCTAGTCTGCAGCCTTAACGTGTTACATTACTCAAGCTATAGTACGGCATGCTCAAAGAATAGCAGCTTAATTTAATGGGAATTAAGAATTTAATGGGAATTAAACTGTCTATCTGGCTAGAGAGCTCAACTGTTCTCCACCACTTTCTCTTTTTGTTTGGGGGTCTTTTCGGTTTTTGTTTGTTTTGGTTTTACTTTATTTTTATTTATTGGTTGGTTGGTTGGTTGGTTGGTTGGTTGGTTGGTTTTTCAAGGCAGGGTTTCCCTCTGTAGCCCTGGCTGTCCTAGAACTCACTATGTAGACCAGGCTGGCCTTTAACTCAGAGATCCACATGCCTCTGCCTCCCAAGAGCTGGGATTAAAGGTGTGCACTATACCACACTCAGATCCTCCACAATTTCCCTAAAGTGACTGAACTCACCAAGAATGGCTACCTCCCTTTCTCTTGAAATACCTTAACTGCCATCCTTCTCCCTTCCTCCTTCAAAATCGACATGAATTCCTGAAGACAGCATACCAGCATCCTTATACACACCGTCAGAGAGAGGACAAGGATGCTATGTAAATACTCCCTTTTCGAACCTGCCCGGATACATGTGGGCAAGTCCAGCCCCAAGAGCAATACGAAGGGCCCTATAAATTTAGGACATAGGGCATGTTTAATATTTCTGTGGTTTAACTGCAAGTATGATCAAGAACAGCAAAGACGATAGATGAACGTATCATGGTTCTGTGCTGGTCCCTGAATGCACGTGATCAGAAGTTCCCAGGTAAACCTACCTCAGGTTTAAGTAGGTAAGCATCTGCAAATTAACAATGGCCTCAGGAATGACCCGGATGCAGTTGTGATACAGGTTAAGAATTTCCAGTGATACGAAATGGCACAGTTCCATCGGCACTTCCACCAGCCGGTTTTTAGACAGATCTGCGAGAAAAAGGAAAGAACGCTTTGTTAGAGCATCAACACCCTTGTTCCTGCTTTCCATGCTATCATCTGAACTTCATCAACATTTCTGGTCTTGTGCCTCTACTGTGATTTCTATTTCTTGGGCAAATTCAGAAGCACGCGTGTTAAGGGAAACGAAGGTGCCAATGAGACCTTAGGTCTCTGATTTGTGAATCTGGCTACACAAAAGGAGCTTTTGGAAATTCTCTTAGGCAAGAATGTAACTCTTATCTTTTCACATACACAAATACGCACAGTTACCACAACCATCCACTCAGGCTTGCATTCCTTATCCGCACTGATTCCAATCAGAGTTCCACTCTAATGTAGGAGGAACTTGTCTGTTATATCCTCTCCAGACAGACACAATCAGAACTTAAAAATAAATAAATAAATAAATAAATAAATTTCTTCACCAGAGTACTTACAATGTATAAGACCAAGATAAACCAACTGTGTCTATTAACACCCAATGTGTGTCTGCCCAGCAGATACCAGGAAAGGTGGACTCCACGGCCAAGTTCACAAAAAACAGGGGCCATGATCTGGGAAGAGATGTGAACACACAGCACCCCCAAATAAAATGATGCAATATCTTTAATGGAGAAATGTAGAACAGTAGACAGGACACCAAATATAGGAAAGAGAAGACGCCACAGCTGTGCAGAGTGAAGCCCAGACCTGGAGGATAAACTGGGAACTTCATGCTCATGAACTTAAAACTTCCCAGACAGCCTTAGGAAGAGGATGAACTTGACCCACGAACACAATACTTAGGACAAAACAAGCTATAACTCCACACCTGAAACCCACGGCACAGAACGGGAGACGGCAGCCCTTCCATTCACAAGCCAAACAAACTTGTCTTATACAAAGATAAGGTGATGCTACTGTCAGTAGGTTGCTGAGGATGCTGAGGATGCTGCTCAGCAGGGGAAGGATACCCAGCCCCACAGCAAGAAGGGGAACGGCACACACAAAAGGGAAAACAAGGGGTTCCTAGCATACAAACAAAAGCGACCAACATTGTTTCAAATAAAGTAACACAAATTGCAACCCCATGAATGGTGGTGGTGTTTTTTTTTAAACCTTTTACACTAGTAAATATCAAATAATCTAATACAGACACTGCCATGCTGAGAACATGGTCAATAAAGGGCTTTTAACTGGTGACATTTTAGCAGAATCTAACATAATAAAACTGAGAGGGGGGAGAAACGGAGATCACATGACACAAAGTTGTTTAAAAGGAGTAAGTCTAGAAAGGGTTGTCCAGCTGGGGATTCCAGTTCACCTTAGGAATATTGTTCCCAGGGCTACAGAGATGGCTCAGCAGGCTGACCTTTCAGCCCGACCGCCTGAGTTCAATCCTAGGACCTACACCATCAACGGAGAGAGCTGCCACTTGTAAATTCACCTCCGACCTCCGCACACATGCTATGGCCCTCGCCTCCCCACTAAAAAGAAATGTCAAATACATTTGTTTCAAAGAAACGGGGGCTGGAGAAATGGTTCGGTGGTTAAGAATACCTGTGGCTCTTGCAGAGGACCCAGAATCAATTCCCAGCAGCCACATGGAGTTCATAACCATCTGTAACTCCAATTCTAAGGGATCTGGCACCCTTTTCTGGACACCATGGGCACCAGGCTCACACTTAGTGCACATACACATATGCAGGCAACAACAACCATAAGATAGGAAATAAAAATAATTCTTCAACAAAAAGACTACTGGAACCAGCAGATAAAGCCTGGCGCCCGAGTTCATTCTACGGGACTCCCACGGTAGGAGAGAACAGGCTACCACAAGCTGTCCTCTGACCTCCTGAGTCACAGCAGGAATGCAAACGCACTGACACACATACAACAACAAACATTTTCTTCAATGAGGATGAGGGCCAGGAAAGATGGCCCAGGAAGTAAAGAGGTCCTTAGTGGAACAACTTGGGATCCATCCCCCAAACCCCTGTAAAGGTAGAAAGGTGAGAACCAACTCTGTAAAGGTGTCCTGTGTGTGTCACATGTGTGCTGTGAGCTGCATGGACATGACACACACACACACACACAAAATACCACTAATAATGGACACATGAATACAGTTGCTACAGGAATGGAAGGTATGAGGTGGGTGGGCATTGCCTCCTGTTTGAGATGCCACCTGGGTTTCTCAGGTGACTTCAAAAAGGTGGTTTGAAATTCCACTTTTCTTTTGAAATTCTGCTTTCTCTCACTGTGAGTGCAGCTTTGACCCATTTTCCATCTTGGTAATCAGTTCCGTGGACTTCCTTATGCGTTCCCTGGGCTGCTTTCTGATGGGCTTCCTCTTAAAAGAATACTGTACACTGGAGACGTGCTCGAAGATCTTCGGTACCTCCCCTCCCCGACCGCCACCTACAAAGGTTAACTATGTGAGATGATACAGAACCTAATTTGCCTGGCTATAGTTATCATTTCATCACATGTTATGCATGTGTACAGATATCAAAATAGATTAGGTACATGAAATACATAAATGTATATACACTTTAACCCAACCTTTTTTCATCTACAAATACGGTGTATTTTTAGCAGAGTTTGAAATCCTACATGTTAGAAAATAATTTAAATGTCAGTGGAAGGCTGATTAAATATTCATACTCCATTAATAAATGTCATAAATAATGCTAATATTAAATCAACCAATAAATATGAACACAACAGTAATTGCATTTCCTGTGAGGCTGTGGAATACTGAAACATCACCCTCTGCAATGAACAATAGTGCTATGAACTCATTGGCAAGAACCAAAGAGTTCTCTGTGGCTGACAGGGAACCATCTCGAAGGTAACTTGTTCATGCTGGTAAGTGGCCCGGTGTAGAACAGGGCACGAAGCATCTGTGTTTTAGAGGGTGTTTTACACAATTACTTAGCTGTAAGTTATTTCTGGAGAGTTAAGAAACTAATGAAAAAAAAAAACTGCAGTTTCTTTCTAGACAAAGGCTCTCTGGCTAGATGGACTGGTGTGGCTTCTCGCTGTAAACTCTTCTGTACCTGCAAAGATTTGAGAGTGAGTGTGTGTGTGTGTGTGTGTGTGTGTGTGTGTGTGTGTGTGTGTATGTGTGTGTGTGTGTGTCCAGATAAGCAATATATGTATCACACATATACTATTAAAATATGCAAATCTCAATGTATATAAACACACATCTAAAACAGTCTTCCAGAACGTCTGCATTCTCGATCTCACTACACAATGAATTTGTGCCTAACTTGACAGGCCGAAATGACCATCAAGTCCCAGGCCCTGGAATGGGAGGGACGGTGGGGTGTGAAGCAAATTTCCTGTCATGAATGTTTAGAACCAAAACAGAAAAAAAAAAAAAAAACAATTCCAATAGACATGAAGATTTTCGTGTGCTACAAAGCAGGAAATCTGCCCAGAAAACATATACTGCTGTTTCCTGTGAGTTTGGCTCAGAAAATCCCCCTGAAGTTCAGAGAGACAACTGTGGCATGTGCTCTGTGTCTGCAGTGTTTACAGCACAGACTGTCTGCTGTCCTCACCTCTTATCTCCTCCAAGGTCTCCAGGTATGGGGAAAAGTTCAGCATTTTTCCTCCCATACTGCTTCTGGGCAGCCTGATCTACTCAGCCAGAAGGCCTCTGTAGAGATGGGGTTAGTCTTACCTGCTGAAGGGAAAGCCTTAAATCATCCTCATTTTAAATAGGATCTAATATTTTCCTATTAAAACTCTTATTCTGTTTGCTTATTTGCTTGGTTTGGGGGTTTTGTTGATTTTCCTTTTGGAGATGGGATATTACTATGCAAGCTTAGGTTGGCCTAGAACTCACAACCCTCCTGCCTCAGCTGCCAGTGTTACCACCTGACCCCAGATCTGACTCATCAGGCCCATCTGAAACTGATGTGGTTGTGTCTGGTTTTGAGACAGGGTCTCAAGTAGCCCAGGCTGACCTTCAACTCTCTATATAGTAGTGGTAGCCTTGAACTGCTGATCTCCCTGCTGGGTTTAAGGAAGATGCTGCTATATCTGGTTTACAGGTTTACGCAAAGCTGAAGAATGAAACCCAGACCTCTAACCCCGGGCATTATGCACACTAAGCAAACACGCTACCACCTGAGCTATATTAAAACTTGTTTTTAATTGGACTATTCTCTATATACCTTTTCAGAGATCCTTTCTCAAAAGGGGTTAGGCTATATATACATTACAAATAAAGTTCTAAGCTGTTGACCATGGGTATCCACCATGACAAGGCCTTCATTGACCCCAAATAAGTAGATCTCCATATCTACCAAGCTAGTGACAATTTCCCTTTGCCCTGAGCTCCTGGATTTCTGGATTTGTGTCAGTTTCTATATTAGAAGGTTAAGACATCTACATGCAGCCTAGACTCTCCCAATGCCTATACAAAAACAGCTGGCTTAGTCAGCAGTGTGGAAATTAAAACACAACAAGAGTTTGTTTGGGTTAATTAACTGAATGCTGAATTATTTACACACTCATCAACATTTCCTAAGCATATGCTTTCTACACAAATAGAAAACCACACACATTCAAGGAGCTTAAATATTTCATAGAAAAATGAGACAAACTCATAACAAACCATAATATTTCAGGATATTCCAAAATATGCTTTTAATAAGGCCTAAATCGGGGGCCAGAAGGACGGCTCAGCAGTTAAGAGCCTGTATTACTCTCGCAGAGGTCCTGAACTGGGTTCACAGAACCCATATTGTGGCTGAAAACTGACTGTAACTCTTGTTCCAGAGGACCTGCGTGCTCATACCCAAACACAGACATACACATAATTGAGAAATAAATAAAATTGTGTGTGTGGATATATATGTTTTAAATCAGGAGCTGACTACTGCCTGCAAGAACAGAAACAGCTGGTGACATCTGTCCATGCCTCATGCAAAACCTACATGGAACAGTACTGCCTCCAGCCTATGTGTAAGAACAGGCTTGGGTCACTTGCC